ATTTAGCAAGATGTCATCCTTTTCCTTCAAAGGTGTCGGGTGTGCCATATAGCCAAAACCAGGTTATACACACCTTTACCAGTTCCAGAGACCCCTTGGGTATATATTAGTATGGATTTTGTGTTAGGGTTACCCAACACCCAACGACATAAAGATTATGTTATGGTAGTTGTGAATCGTTCCTCAAAAAAAGACCGATTTTATTCCTTGTCACAGAACCCATGATGCATCTTACATTATCGATCTATATTTAGAGAAACAGTGTTTATATTGGATTCCAAAAACTATTACCTCGAATAGGGATGTTCGCTTTCTTAGTCATTTTTTTATAACACTTTTTAAGTTCCACAACTTATCCACAAATAAATGAGCAAACCAAAGCCGTCAATCATAGCCTAGGCCATTTATTAAGGTGTTTTGTAGAAAAAAATACTAAGCAATGGGACATATCCTTAGCACAAGCTCAGTTTTCTTATAATCAATCTATCAATCAAACAACGGGAACAACGGGAAAAAGCCCTTTCAAATTTGTGTGGTCAGAATCCCATTACACCTTTAGATCTGTCACCCGTATTTAGCCATTTAGGATATAATTTTGATGGTGAAAGGTGTATAGGGGAAATAAAAAAATTACATCAGCATATCTATGACATGATCGCTAAAAAAATGCTTAAAATCAAAAAATAATCCAACAAATCTCGTATTTCAACTTCCTTTAAAGAGGTGGATCAAATTTGGATATATCAACAAAAAGAACAATTTCTTCCGGGACCATTTGCTAAACAAAAAATTAAAACTAATGGATCTTTCAAAATAGTCAAGCGTATAAGAGAAATCATTTACAAAATTGAACTACCAGGAGATCTGAACATTTCCTCAACCTTTAATGTATCAGACCTCTCACCCTACTATGGCTCGGATCAAGATTTAGACATCGAGGATGAGTCTTCACCTACCTGGGAAGCATGATACAATTTTATTTGTTATAATTTTAAGCATTTTATTTTAATTATTTACTTCCCTTTTTTCTTGGTTTTATGAGCTGATTTTTTAATAGGGGTAGGATTATAATTTGATGCTTCTTTAAATCTTTCGCTTTCTATAAACACCTAATGTTCATTTGAGAGAGGGGGGTTGGTTCATTTTATTTTAGATTTAGACATATGAGAGAAGGGAAATATCAATTTTCTTGGGGTGGATTTCCCCTAAGGCTTGAGAAGAAGAGAGGGAGTGGAGTCCGAGATTCCGCCAAAATCAGGTCCAAGCCACTTCCTAAAATTTTAGCCAATTGATTGAGTACAAGACAACAAACTGCTGGCCATTTCATAGTGCCATCCACCAATTCATCCATATCCAGCGGTTGGAAACCCTACCACTAGCACTCAGTCGTAGAATTCATCCAATTGTAGGTGTGCTGTCCAGAAAAACAAATTTCCTTGTTTGTATTGCCACCAACTATAGAAAAGAGTACATCATCATCCAAGAAACTGAGAACTTTATGTAGGAGCAAGGAAAGAACAATGGAATTACGAAAAGCCCCTACAAAGTTCTCTGCTTCCATTTTTTTATTTTCAACAGTTTTTCCAACATATAAACCGCCATCTATTAGTGTCTTTCTTATCATATTTTGCAAATCTGGGTTCTTGAAATCAAAAAATAATTCTTGGATCAAGGATCTAATATCATCAAATCAATATAATTTCCTATGGATTCCCCTCTATGTTAAGGCCCATCTTCATCAGATGATTCTTGAAATACTTGAGGGAAATGATTCTCCATTTCACGTTCGTCATCTGAATGAAATGAACGGGATTCTCTATCATGACGTTCATAGGTTGCTAACCTGGTTTGAAGTTGTTGGATTTGGTGAAGCAAGTCTTCCATAACAAACCCTTGGTTTTGACAAGATTACTAATAGGAGGCATTCTAATCCAAGGCTCTAATACCAAAATTTAACACTGAGAACAAGAAAGAATACAGACAAATTTGACACGGAGGACAAGAAAGATAAAGATTACCCAATCAAGAACAGTGAATAACCTTACAATCCTAATTTGCAATTCCTACTAGAGCCCTCAACACTCAAAGCATAAAATATTGGGACCAAAAACATAATCAAAGCATGAAAGAACAGAGGAAAATAGAAATTAAACCAAAATCTAAAATTACAAGAACTAAAGGAAAGCTATTGTTGTAGTCATTGATAATCCCAATAAATTCCCTAATCGATGGTTCTTGTTCCTTCCCATATCATGTATTTAAGTTTCTTTCTAGTTGAACTGTTGTTTGGGTCCAACGGGGATCTTTTCCAGTGACAGTAGATTCCTGGATTGATCCAAGAATGATTTATGGGTTTCAATAACCCGGACCTGTAGGAAATGATAAGAAAGACACCAGTAGATGGTGGTTTACATGCAGGAAAAATTGCTAAAAAAAAAGAAATAGAGAACCTAGTAGGGTATGCTCATAATTCAATTGTTCTTTCCTCACTCCTATATAAAGTTCTTGGTTTCTTGGATGCTATCAAACCCTTTTCTATCGTCGGTGGCAATACAAACATAGAAATTCGTTCTACTAGACAGCACACTTGCAGTTGAATGAATTCTACGACTGAGTGTTGGTGGTGGGGTTTCCAACTGCTAGGTGCAATGAATTGTTGGTTGGCACTATGAAATGGCCAATAGTTTGTTGTCCTGTAAACAAACAGCTGGCTGAAATTTCAGGAAGAGGCTTTGGACTTGATTTTAGCAAAATCCTAGACTCCACTACATTCCCTCTCTTCCTCTAAAGCTTTAGGGGAAATCCACCCCAAGGAAAATAGATCTTTCTCTTCTCTCATATTTCTAAATCTAAAATAAAATGAACCAACCCCCGTCTCTCAAATGAACATTAGGTATTTATAGAAAGACAATGATTAAAAGAAGCAACACATTACAATCCTACCCCAAATTAAAAAATCAGCATATAAACCAAGAATGAAAAAAAAATGTAAATTAAAAAACCTAATCAAATAAAATGCTTAAAATTAAAATAAATAAACCCTTATTACTATCTCAGTGTAAAGCCACTCATCCACTTGAGCATCCTCATCTCTGCAGCACTTAATTTTGTGCTTCACTTTTAATAGTCAATATTATACGTATAAAATATTATAGGTCTCACGACTATCTTATAAACTTTCCCTTATGTTTGAGGGGTATTTTTCTATCATACAACAGGCCCGATGTATTTCTCCACTTCAACCATCTAACTTGAATTTTATTAATAATATCCCTCATCTATTTCACCATAGCTTTGAACAATAGGCCTGAGATATCTAAAATGTGCACTCTTTTTGAAGACATGATCACACAATGTCACAATCCCACAACTAGATCAACTGCTACTAAAATTACACCATGATAATTAAGTATTGGATCTCCTCAAAAGAAAATCTTTAGACTCTAAGGTTAATCTCCATAATTCAAGTCTTTCTTCAACTCCCTCTATAATCTTATCAACAAAAAGAATATCATCAGCAAAAAGCATACACCAAGATACATCCTCTAGCAAATGTCTAGTAAAAACATTCATCGCTAAAGCAAATATTCAATTGGATACACCAAGGTACATCCTCCATGGCTACAATACTCAATTTGAGAGATTTGAAGATGAAGAGCATATTTTGGCCAATGGTCAGGGTGATGAAAAAGATTATGATGTTGATAATGATCATGATGAAGAGGGGACTATTTTGGTTTACAATGATGGCAATTAAGAGGATGACTACTTCAGTTTTTAATTTAAGTATGAAATTTATATATATACTATTTCTTATGTTTAATCATAAATATTCCCTTGAGAATATATATGATCACTTCCCTTTATGAAAGCCTAAGCTCAAATGCTTTCTTTTTGTCCTCATATCACATATTCATGCAACCATGATAGTTTCAAGTACCAATTTATCTATTTTATTTGTAATGATAATATGATTTCCTTTTGTTAGCCTTCATGTATGTTACATATAAACAGTTTTTTATTCTACTTAACAGATATTGTCTTTCTTAGGGATGTTTTACTCCTAAGTGGTTGATTACCAATAAATAATTTATGATTTTTTTAATAATTAAAGTTAATTATAAAATAGCATGTGCTACACTATGCATCATCAATTCACGAGAAACATGGGCTACAGTGCGTTGTTGGTTATGGATAATCATGCATAGTTCAATTATCAATATATTAAAATCCTAGGAAAAACAAATACTAAAATACAAATTACCTTAGTAAGAAAAATATAAAACGTAGTTTGATGGATCAACTACAGAGCAAATTGGTTGTTTTTAATACCCAAAGATTATGACCGAATCTCCATCTCTCATTGTTTTCTAAAGCAGTTGTCTAGTATAAAATTTTCTAGTTCAAATATTTTTTACTAAAAAACTGCTTTAGAAAGCAATAAGACAGCTATCCCATACGAGACCATAAGCTTTAATATTCAAACACTCAGTGATAAGAACTAAAAACAAAGTTCTCCAATAGAAGAGAAAGCTAGAGAGTGAAAATAAGAAAACCATGAAATGTTCAATCAGTAAAATTAGCAACGTCCAGAATTTATGTACCACATTGAGTGGCCACACAATGCATGCATAGAAAGCCAACTCCACACCCACTGCGATGGGGCTTGCACCCCAACAAGCCAACTCAATTTCATTAAATAAACAGTAAAATAATATTGAAGATTAAAATCTTTGTAATTTGCATTTAACTCCTTGCCAATGAAATATCCCTACTGAGTGGCCGTAAACAAAAATAAAGATGACATATTATGATAGGTTGTTTCCCCTCAAATTTAATCACAGTTACAGTACAATGAAAGAAAAACAATGATTAAAATGACTAGCTCAGCAAGCCTCTCATTACACAAATTATGTTCACGAATGGGTACCAAATTTCCCAAACTGTGACCATAAAACCTTTAAATTCAAAAGATCTTAATCTGTTTCATTTGATTCAGCAAAAATGTGCATAAAAAATAGGTGACTTTACACTTGCTGATATGCATCTGGCTAACAACCTGCCAATGGTTTCAATCTAGAAAACAGATGAATAGTTCTATGGTACCTTTCATTAAGCTGATCATCACGTAGAGGGGATCTACTCCGACTACGTCTTCTCTTGACACTGTCCCTAAACAGAAAAGTTTAATTAGACTGCGAGACATTAAAACTTGTTAACTGTAGAAATATTCCTGGTTTCAATTACCAACATGAAGCTGCAAACCTGCTCTTGTGTGCCCGGGAATGAGGACTTGAACTCTTTCTAGAACTTTGTGATGACCTAAATCGACAATCTCTACCATGATGGCGACGCGAACCACACTCCCGGCATCTAGTATCACGGTTCGACGACCTGTTTCTTATTCCACCCAATGATCTTTGAGACATCTCTACACGCCATCCATGTTTTCCTAAGAACACAAACAAATATGCAAAGATCTAACAAAAGAGCCACTAGGCATGAGCTAAGATGGTGTCTTACACATCAAGAATGGCATATTAATAATTGATAATGCCAACGTCACTTGAGGCCCAAGCCAGATTACAGATGCTATACTATTTTTTAATTAAACCTGTTAACATGAAGTGCATCTATAGGTGCGAAGAATGACAAACCAAGAAAGGAAGGCATGCCTCACCAGGATATCAGATAGAGGCAGAGGAGCAAGCTACGGAGAGGAAATGGGAAGTGGAAAAGGAAGCAGCCAGAGACCAGGTTGGAGGAGGGGGATGGCATCTGCACAGGGCTAAAGGGCCAATCAGAAGAGGAAGTAGGGAGCGTCGAGGAGGTGGTCAGCAGCCGCACAGGAAGGATGGGTGCACATTGATGACAGAGAAGGCACAGGGCACAGCAAGGCCTGAGAAGTGTAGAATTTGGAAATAAATAAATATTATAATATGGCAAACACACAGGCAACTGTCAGAAAAACAAAAACCATGTGGGTAGCTACATAAATGACAAATGGAACAGATATTTAGGCTAGGCCATATTGGTTTTCACATTATGGTGTAGGCATGGCAAAGCTTTCACAAGGCCCAATTTTTATTATTGAAGCACAGACCACCAGGGCTTTACCATGACCAAACTGAAACCAAAAAATGGACCAGCTAGAACCAGACATCCGCAGTCTCATAATAAGCAGCATAAAGTAAATGTGACTAGTCATCATGATGATTAACAGGTGTTAAGAAAAACAGGAAGATTTCCCTACTAATAACACGAAACTATATGAACACTTTCAGTTAGGACAAGTAAAAACAATTACAAAGTTGAAGGAGAGCTTGCTGAAAGCTGAGGCATCATTCCAAGCTAGCTAAAAATACAAAGCAAGATTCTTGATAATCCGTTTCCTTAGACCTACACTGTCAAGTATTTCTACTACAGCGATCATTTAGAAAAAGTTAAATAAGATTATTAAAAGTTGCAATATATTTTTAGGCAATGCTTCACATTTCTTTTGGAAACAACAGGGGATAGTAGATATTCCAGAAGAGAAATAAGAAAAACTAAAAATAAAACAGAGACACAGATTTGAAAGTGCCCAAACAATGTAATATTTTGATGATAAACAAAATTTTAAATGAGCTACGTAAGTGCTCTTACCATCTAAAGCAGCAATAGCATCATGCGCTTCCTGACGACTATCAAATTCAACAAAAGCATAACCTGGTGGATTCCTCGCTATCCATATACTAAGGTAACATATGAAAGAAAAACCAGTATTAGCACTCAGGATAAAGGCCGAATCCATATAACATATTACCAGAAAAAAATTGATGATAACAGTCTGATCATTCAATAGATTAATCATGGCTATATATAAGGTCAGATTAATGATTCTTTCTCCATTCGCCACTACTGAATGTTGCATGGGGTATTAAGTCTGCACAAGTTATTTTCCAAGTTCTAATCCAGTTATCTTCAATCTACCGCTTTCCTTCTTATGCCTTTACATTAACTCTATCTCCTATCCTTATTAATGCATGTTTTGTTTCCTTTTTGTGGATGCTCAAATCACCATATTATACTTCCTATAACCTCATTTTTACAATATCACTCATTTGACTCAACAGGAGGTTAGGGAGGCTCCTAACATGGTGACAGTGTAGGGCTTCCATTTCTGATCCATCCGGTCATGTTTTATTTGATTCTAGAGCTAGTCATTCTTTTTTGTCAGAAATATTTTTTAATAGCTTGAGTTTATTTCCTATTCACTTATTACCTGAATTGTGTGTTATATATCCCTATGGGAGATTTCTTAGTTGTTAACCAAGTTTGTGTCTATGAGATTGAGATCTCAGACAGGATGTTAGAATCAAGATTGATTTCGAATTTAACATTATTTTGGGGAAGTAATATGCTCATCCGATATAGATATAGGGGACATCTCACAGATGATTGTTCAGCCTTGCGTTTATAAGAATGCTTAAAATTTTTATGATAAAAGTACAAGTCTAGTTGATCAAATTAAGTCTAGTAAGACAGATGGATTACAAGTGAATGATTAGGGCGCTGTGAATTGTGGAGCTCAACTGTAAGTCCCCGCCAGTAGTATGAAAAGAGACATTCTATATGAGGCTCACTAGTTTGGATATACAATTTACCAAGGTAGTAGTATAGTAAGATGTATTGTGATTTAATATTAATGTTATAGTGGTATTGGTTGAAACGTAATATGGTAGAGTTTATTTCAAAGTGTGAAAATGTAAAATAGCAATGAAAAGCACTAGAGACCCAATAATTTATTGCAGTCATTATCTATTTCAGAGTAGAAATGGAAAGATATCATAAACAATTTTGCCATGAGTTTCCCGAGATCAAGACAAGGTCATGATATTGTTTGGGTTGCGATTGGGAGATTGACAAAGTTAATCCATTTTCTCTCGATGAGATAGACAGACAACGGAGAAGTTAGACCACTTATATGTGTAGGAGATTATCAAGTTGCATGCCCAAAGGTTACTACCAAATTTTTTGCTTTAGTCATGGATGTTCTCACTAGACATTTGCAAGAGGATGTACCTTGGTGTATGCTTTTTGCTGATGATATTCTTCTTGTTGATAAGACTAGAGAGGGAGTTGAAGGTAAACTTGAATTATGTAGGTCAACCTTAGAGTCTAAAGGTTTTCGCTTGAGTAGATCTAAAACGGAATATATGGAGTGTAATTTTGGTATTAATAGACCTAGTGAGGGGATTGTGACTTTGGGCGATCAAGTCATTAATAAGAGTACACGTTTTAGATATCTTGGATCTATTGTTCAGAGTAATGGTGAAATAGATGGGGATATTATCAGCAGAATTCAAGTTGGATGGTTGAAGTGGAGGAATGCATCGGGCTTGTTATGCGATAGAAATGTACCCCTCAAACTTAAGGAAAAGTTCTATAAGATGGTAGTGAGGCCTGCAATGCTTTATGGTGCCGAATGTTGGCCATTAAAAGAGAAGCATAATACTAAGTTAAGTGTGGCAGAGATGAGGATGCTCAGGTGGATGAGTGGCTTTACCCTTAGAGATAGGATACGAAATGAGCATATACGTGAAAAGGTTGGAGTAGCTCCAGTAGAAGATAAAATTAGAGAGAGTCGCCTTAGATGGTTTGGTCACATAAAACGGCGGCCTTCCGATGACCCGGTTAGGAGAGTAGAGGTATTAGATTTGACTTATGTTAAGAAAGGTAGGGGTAGACCTAAAAAGACTTGGTTAGAAAATATTAAGAATGACCTTTCTTTATTAGATTTAAACGAGAATTTGACTTTTAATAGGACACAATGGAGAAAAAGGATTCATGTAGCCGACCCCACGTAATGGGATAAAGGCGTGATGTTGTTGTTGTTGTTGTTGTTGTTTTTCATCCTCAAACAGATGATCAATCTGAGAGAACTATTAAGGTATTAGAAAGTCTATTAAGGTTATATGTATTAAATTTTGGAACTTTGGGAAAATCAAATTCCTATGATTGAATTTGGTTATAATAATAATTTTCAATCAAGTCTTAGTATGGTACCATATGAGTCACTATATGGTAGGAAGAGGAGACAGATAGGCCCTAATCTAGTAGATGATGCTACCGAGAAAATCAGACTGATCAAGAAAAAATTGGAAGTAGCTCAGAATATACAGAGGAAATATTATGATTAGAAGTATTAGGCTGTAAAATTTTAAGTAGGAGATTTTATATTTCCAAAAATTCAATCTTTTGAAAGGGGCAATCATATTTGGTACAGAAGGAAAGCTAAGTCCAAAGTATATTAGACCTTTCGAGTTGATTGGTAAAGTTGAAAAATATGCCTAAAGGTTGTTGTTACCATATCATCTACCCGATGAACATGATGTGTTCCATGTGTCTATATTAAGAAAGTGGGTTTCTAATCTAAAACAAAAGATTCCTGAAGAAGTGGAAGAACGTCATCTAATTTATAGAGAAGAGCCCAAACTTATTATGACCTATGATGTGAGACAATTAAGGAATGAGCAAATTGTTATGGTCAAAACTCAGTGAAAACATACATTACAGATAAAGGTCACTTGGAAGAAAGAGGCAAAGATGAGACAACTCTACCGAAATATGTTCTAACTAATAGCTCATGGAGAAATGTCGAAGATAATATTTTCAAAGGAGGGGGGTATATAATATCCATTACTATAGTACGTCAGTACACAGTCTAGCTGTAATGACCTGAAATGAATCTGGTAAGATTTATTGGTCTATTTAAGTGTTTATGGATATAAGTAAATTTTATTTAAGTAGAAAACTTAGAAATGAAAACAATGTCGTTGCCATATCCCAAGTCCTAGATGAGAAAAATGGAGGGTTGCGTTAGGTAGTTGACAGCCAGTGTAAAATTGTCGAATAATAATGACATGAATCCTTTAAAAAATTTTGTTAATGCTAGGGCGTCCCCTGTAAGCGACGTGCTGTATGGCCTGAATGCAGTGACAAGTGTGCAAGGCAGCGCCCGGGTGCAGTGTTAAATAGGCAAGGGTTCCCACATCAAGAATGGATGTGGCTAAAGAAGCTAGTCCATAAAACAAAAAAAACATGAAACTAAAATTAGGATAGGAACTTGAAATATAGATTCTCTTACAAGAAAATTAATGAAATTAATAAATATTATGATCCATATGAAGTTAAATATTTTGTGCATTCAAGAAACTAAATGGGTTGGAGAAAAGGCTAAGAAGGTTGATAGTTTAGGTTTTAAATTTTGATATTCGGGTAGGACTCGTATTAGAAATGGTGTATGCGTTATTATAGATAAGAGTTTGAAGGATAATGTTATAAAAATTAATAGAATTGGAGAAAAAATTATATTTTTAAATATTTTTGTTGATGCTAAGATTGTTAATATTATAAGTGCTTATGTTCCTCAAGTAGGTTTGGATATGAGTTATAAATTAAATTTTTGGAATGACTTAGAAGAATTAATACAAAAGATACCTCTTGAAGAAAGAGTTTTTATTGGAGGAGATTTAAATGGACATGTTGGTAGAGAAGTGATTTTAAAAGTATTCATGGTGACCATGGGTTTGGAACGACAAATGAAGGTGACAAGATCATATTATATTTTTGTTTAACTTATGATTTTTAATTGTTAATATCTTATTTAGGAAAAGGAATGAGCATCTCATCACATATAAAATAGATATATTACAATTCAAATTGATTATTTTCTTATAAGAAAATTAGATCGTTTAGATTGCAAAGATTGTAAAGTTATTTCGACTTCCGAGTGAAAATTTATGTACCCAACATCGATTATTAGTTTTAGACTTTAAAATAAAGGGGCAAAAAATAAAAAATAAAGTAAAACGATATTCTAGGATTACATGGGGGCATTTAAAGAATATTAATAAAAATATTTTTGAGAGTAAGATTTTAGATCTTCAGATTTTGTCTATGCATGAGGATGTTAATGTTATGTCGGAAAAAGTGGCTAATGATATTAAGAATATTGTAAAAGATGTGCTTAGAGTATCAAAGGGAAGAGCTCCTAATAGTAAAAATAGTTGGTGGTGGAACTCAAATGTGTAAGAAAAGATTTAAAAAAAGAAGATTTTTTATAAAAATGAGTTTATCTTTAAAAATTCTGATAATTAAAAAAGTTATAAAGAGGCTCATAAGGATTCTAAGAAAGTAATTTGTGATGTAAAGACCTTAGCTTTTAGTGATTTATATAATAGATAAGATACTAAGGAGGGAGAACGATATATGTATAAGTTAGACAAACAAAGAGATAGGAGTAATAAGGATTTAGTTCAAGTGAAGTGTATTAAGGATGAAGATCAAAAAATACTTTTCTTAGAAGATAATATTCAACAAAGGTGGATGAGATATTTTACTAAATTTTTAATGAAAATTGTGAAAATAAGAATGACTGTAATGACCTTAGCACCTTAAATGAAAATGAAGATTTTTGTTTTTATCGACGTATTAGTAAAACCGAAGTTAGAGAGGCTTTAAGGAAAATGAAGGGTGGAAAAACTATTGGACCTGATGATATTCCAAAAGAGGTGTGTAAATACTTAAGAGATGAACGAATTTCTTGTCTTACTAAACTTTTAATACTATTTTGAAGACTAAAAAGATGTCAGATGAGTGGATAATGAGTGTGTTAATTCCTATTTTTAAGAATAAAGGCGATACACAAGATTGTGCGAATTATAGAGGAATTAAGTTAATGTGTCATACT